CCTCTCCCTTCCCCTCTCCCAACTTTTCGGTTCATTCGATCGTTAATTCGAGTCACCGTCAATATTGGTTCGATATAAAAACATTCGAGATTCTTCCAGTAACGGATAACGATAAAGAAAAGAAATATTACGAAACGTGGGATATCCTTATCGTTTAATTTCGTCATAACCTCTCGGCCATTTCGTCGGTCTCGATTCGAAGGTAGAAAATGAAAGAAATAACGCGTAAAACGTTGCACGGAAAATTACAACGGAACGGAAAGAAAAAGTTAAACAGTCTGAAAGAAAGGGAAAAACGAAATATCCACCGGCTGACGAGAACAGAAAAAGCAGCAATGAAGTGATGGGGAGGAAGAACGGGAGGTAAGGTAGAGTGACAGACAAAAGGGGAAGCGAAGAAAAACTGGATAAGAGAAACAACGACGCGAGGGAAACTGTTTTCAGTAAAGTGATTGAAAGTACATGAACAAGAAATATGATTGATGAGAAACTAGAAACTAGAACAGGAAACAGGTACTGTTCTTTACGCGGTAATGAAAGCGTAATCTACCGTCGGTATCGATACGGACGAGCTGATTAACCGGCAACTGCACGCCATCTGTGAATATCATTAAGATTCGTTACACATTTTCCTTCGTTCAACTATATTATTTTCAGCGATCGTATCTTTCTCGATTAAATTGCAGCATCGAAAGAGCTGCGTACTTATACCGCGACTGTTAATATACGTACACGATTATCACATGGCGCACAAATTTTAATTATTTTGCAAATCGAAATTCTACCGAAGCTCGGTGCAGTTTGATCCGAACGAAAATTGCAGATGATAAAAATTTCACGTTCTATCCGCGAGCACTGGGCCGATATCAATCTTCTCAAAACACGTGCTATTTTCCCCTCTTGGTCTCGTTATTCTGCACCTGCCGGTACGATAATTGGACGAAGAGCGTTCGTGTCGCGTTGGCAAAAAAAAGAGCAGCCTCGCTGAGCACCGCTGCGCGCACTTTTTTCCAGGACGTCTCGAAAACGAACGACAATCGAATTGCTCGAAAGCAACGAGATATCCGTCTTGATTCCGTAGCAATAAGTTGCCGTGCCCTCGACATCTGCAACGAAAGACGTTGCGCCAGGCGATCGTGCTTCTTGTCGAGAGCTACGAGAAGCACGATGCTCGCGTAGTGGGGGTAAGAGGCTAGTAGTGGGGGTCGAGAATACCACGCTCTCAGCGATGGGGAAAGGCTCGTATCGAATCGTGAAATATCGATATTGTTCTACTACGTTTAGTAACTTTTATCGGAGTATAAGTATATAAGGAACACTGCTGCACTGTTTTATCGACAGATAGAAATATTATTACACGTTTATCGACTGAAATATCAACGTGATACAGTTTCAAGTTCCACACAGCGAATATTGATTGCAATGATCTTAAAACGGACTTTGATAACGTATATTGATTTCCTTTGCTTCGGTTCTTCAGTTTGACGTTATAAAAATTAAAATCCATTCATTTTTGAAGTCCCAATGGAATATTTGATATCTCGAATTAATCCGGGAATCGAAGAACAGTAACGACGTCGCGTATGACAATCGATATACGTCCTAACCTCACTTTTAATTGCCGAAACTTAGCAGGGATCACGGGGATAGATCAGTAACGGGACAAATCGGTGATTACCAACTTCGAAATATCCTGCAACTGACTTCAGACTCTATTCCAAGGGACTCGAAGCGTCTTGAGCCCATCGCTAGTTAGCGGTCTGACGTTTCGAGCCCGTTAAAGCCCACACGTTGCCCCAGGCGTATTATACGAAAGCCTTTGTGCATTGTTTGAGCTTTCCCGGCCATTGTGCTTTCCAGTTACACACAGCTTGGATTCTCGTGCACTCGTGGCATCCAACTGCGTTTCTCCTCGTCCTTTTCCTCCTCGTTTCTCATCCCGGCTCTTTATCTCTCTCCTGTCTCCTCTCACGTTCCTTTCTTTCTCTCCCACTTCGCTACGAAGAACCGTATGATTCTCTTCTCGATACAGCAGCTTTTGCTGCCTTTTGGACAGCCGTCTGGACGGGACAAGAAACCGGGAACATTTTGTCGGAAGGGAGCTACACCGGGAAGTGTCTCATGCCGTCTGGGACTCTCTCATTCTTCGGGCCAGGTCACCGTGACTTCGCTGCTTTCGTCGAACGTTCGCGGAAAAAGCGACGGCCAATGGAAATGTTCCGCGGGCTCGAATGGTTCTCATCACGAACACGTGGGACACTGCAACAGGACACTTCGGTATCTCCAATGGACGCAAGGTGATTCACTCTTGTAGGCGCACGTGTACGATGATCAATAAAATACGAGGCACTGAGGAAGACTGACAATGAGGGACACCGGTGTGAGAGAGAGGAGAAGATTCGAGTTAGGTTAGGGGCTAATCCATCCTGTAATTTCATCTTGCTCTGGGCCCAGGCGCGGGCCTCGTTGATTAGCGCGATTCAAGAAAACATTTTACGAGAACCCGCAGTCGCTTTCGAATTGATCCAAACGTAATATGTTCCTACCGGCTACAGGTCTCATACGTGCTAATTAACTTACGGTGTAACAGGTACGAAACGCGGGAATTAATAAGATTCGCCGGGGCCGACACGTTTTCATGGGCATTTTCACGCACAGTATAGCGAGGCGGATTTTCGGGGCTAACTAGCGTTTAAAACGCGCTATAAAACGATTATTCCAGTTAACATGGCGAGTGGACTCGCGGGACCAAGTTTCGTAAGCTTCGTCGCGTAATCAAGAATTTAAGAGAAATAACCTTGGCACGATTTCCACTTTCAACGTCTCTTAAAACTTTCAAAAAGTTGGAAAAAATCCGAGGAAAATTCCGTTGCAAGAGAGGATCGAAGAACGTCTCTTTGTACACACTGTTCATCCTCGTTGAACCTAACGAGATTTTCTAATTCGTTTCGTGTTGTATAGAAAATTTCGAGGCCATGCTATAGTATCGAAAAACTGTTCTAAACTATATGCGTGTAATGATATACCAAGAAATGAACTGAAATTGGAGAGAACTTATTATATATTTATTTCCAGACTGGTTCGACGAATCCAAGGATTACGTGTGCGTCATCCAGGTTCCAATAAGAAGACTCAGACTCAAATATACCGGCTGACTGCGTTACCAGGTGTAAAGTAGTTAATAAAAGTCACGAGTGGTCAACCCTGTTGTAATTTCTGGATTGAAATATAAAGTTTAGTGTAATACGCAGGGATCTAACCGTATACAGTTATACAGGATGTCCCAGCAACGGTACAACCGGGAAGAGACTGATTCTACACGAAAAAACAAACCAAAAATAAAGAATAAAATTTTTCCATTCGAAGCTTCGTTGTCGAGAAAATCAACTTTGAATATCCACCGAGAGCGCTGCTATATAGATAGTCCACCTATCTAAGTTAAGTGCACGCGTACTCGGGTAATATTCAAAGTCGATTTTCTCGACAACGAAGCTTCGAATGGGAAAATTTTATTCTTTATTTTTGGTTTGCTTTTTCGTGTAGAATCACCCTTTTCTTGATTGTACACTTACAGTCCACTTATAGGAATACAAATAAAGAATATAAGTGTCCGCAAGGGTTATAACGACTAATGTGCTCTATACCGCTTCGAGTTTGGAACTGAACGATTCCAAAAGACAGAAAAGCTTTTAACTAAAATGGTAGACGACTCCTGTTGACACTAGTGGAGTAGCAAAGGTCCTCGAGACCCAAAATCCGCTACTAACCTGCGACGTCTAGCACCCTGGACGTCATCGTTGCGTGGCTATAGTTCATTCCAACAAACCCCAATGAGTAAGAACACGCCCTACCGCGAAGATCATTCAAATTCTGCCAAAGAAGGTTTCCATTTGCTCTAGAAACGCGAGCAATCTCTTCGACGACCGCACAGTTCTCGAAGCATTGCCAAAGAATCTCTCGCTCCTTCGAGACGAGAGAACAGAGCCGAGAAACATTTTACTGGAAATCAACGGGAATGTGCTTTGTACGTTGGCCAAAACGGAATCGAGCCGGAATTGCTTTCGGATATTGACGTAACTAGCGAGCAGAGCTAGTGGATTGCTATCGCGACCCTGTTAACCGCGCGACACGCGATTTATTCCGCTGACCCAGCCGGAGTTTGCTAGCGCGACGTGGACGCGATTCGCTGTTGGTCGTAGCGAATCCAACGAGAAACAACTGAGTCAAGCCAGAACTTTGCTTCCACGTGAAACGAGAATCAAAACTATGTACCGAAATTGCCGTTCGTGGGCTAAAACGATCATGTCAGCTACCAGGGGACTGAAAACAGGCAGGACACGAACGATCAGGACACAACCCCTTGTCCTATGATCCGAGTTCCGATAGCGAGAGCCATAATCAACGACAAGGTCGGTCCCATGTTGAGCCACTTGGTCCAAACACGGCAAAGAATAACAGGTAACTGAGACAGACATCGGCGAAAATTAACCACGAGCCTGACTCCTGTCGTCCATGTTGGACTCTATCTACAAACCACGCCTCTCACTCGTGACACTCGTGTTTGGCCCGGTTTCCTTACCACGAGTCTCGCACGAGCTTGCAGGCGAAGGGGTTAATTGGCCAGATACTCACGTTCGCTATCTTCAGACGAGTGGCACAACGTGTGACATAGAAAACTCGCGATACGTATTGGGAAAAGACGCTCTCTAGCCTGTTGGTCACTTGGGCTAACTTCTTCTGAGTTCTCTACACGGTATACTACTCACGGTAAATAACCTCTAAAGCTGCATGTGACTTCAAACTTCCAATTAGGAAGAAAATAACGAGGAATTCAAATAAAACAGAAAAATCTTCACCACTCCTAAAGATAATTTTGGGAGTGACCACACACGTTGGCACGAGAAGGAAAGTCTTGGCGAGTGATACCTTACGACTTGGTGTCGCAAAGTTGTTAATTAAAATTAAGGAAAGAGAAAAGAGGTGGAGCAGTTGGTACTTACCTCGAGATAAATTTCGGAATGTGGATTGAAGGTGTTGTTGACCGAGTAAAGAGAGACGTTGAGGTGCGGCAGGCCGTGGAAGACCCTAGCGAGCTGCGGTACCGTGTACTGTTCGGGAAGCTGCTGACCGCCCGCCATTTTGGAGAACCCTTGTCTGCCGAAAACCCCGTTGAAGAGCCCCTCCTACTCGTCAAGACATGCTACGAGACCTGTAACAGCAAGAACCAGCGGGTTAAGAACTGCTTCCGGCTTTTTCCTCTCCTCGTTTCGTGACTCCTGCATAGTGCAGGGAAAAAATATATTTTCGTCAGAGAAGAAGACACGTTAAGAAAGAAGAGTCCCTCGTTATTAGACACGGACCGATCGACGTGGCCGATTTGAGAGGAAAATCGACGCCCTGCGCGCAGGAAAGGAACCTGGATGAGCTTGTTATATTTAACACGGCCTATTATCCGCTTTGACGTGCAATTAAACTGGTAACCGTGGCGTAAAAAGGAACCAATTCTGTCTGGATACCGTTTAGTTTGGAATCGAATCGGCCGGTCGAACGAGCTCTCGACGCAGTTTAATCTTTGTTAGATACGTCGATGTCGCCCGATGATGTGTTCTCTTTATCCTCTCCCTCTGTCTCTCTCGCTCTCTTCTCTCTCCTCAGTCTTTGTCACTCCTCCGAAACGCTTTGCCAGGCTTGATTCAATTACGCTCGAAGCGCCGTTGTGGAAGCAACGAGCGCTTAATTAATGAAATCTGTGCCAGCTGCTCCGTTCCGCTCTCGTCGAGGACGATACCCGACAAGAACACGTGCCTCTTCCGGAAGTATCTCGACATTCTTTTTAACGAATTATTACCCTAGGGCGAGTGTGTTCGAATGGGAGCTTCACCGGACATTGGTTACCTGAGCGACTTGTCTGAAGCTTCTCTGAATGGAGACTGTCTCTTCTTCCTCTCTCCTGACCTTGTGTTCGCGTAATTATGCTTGGAGATGATTATAGGTTATTTGCTAAGCGATTGTTTGTCAGGAATGCGGTGAAACTTGAGATTCAGATTGTATTGCGTAAAGAAGCAAGTTAGCGAGATATTTTGGGGATATTCTAGGGATTTTTTTATTATTCTTCCCATTTTCTGATGTTCTGTTTGTATAATTATACTTACAGATGTTTTATGGTTATTTGTTAATCGATTGTTTGCCAGGAAAGTGGCAAAACTCTAAATTTGCAGTTCTACATTCCGTTGTATAAAGGCAGGAGATTTTATATGAAACGTTGGCGATATTTCGAAGCGTTTTAAAGGTATTTTTATATTTTTTACCCGCGAAAAGCTTCAGGAAGCTACGAAGTTATAAGCAGGAGTGGGACAACAAAAATTATATACGAAGCTACGAGGCTAAATGGTCAAACTTTCCTCTGCGAAAAAGTTTTTCTCGAAGTATACTTGCAGGTGCTGCGTTCAAGAGATATTGACTTCTATAGTTGCGAGACTACGAGAATGAGTAACGTTGAAATATTTCGTTGAAGAATACGTCTGCACCGTGTAACGAAATATATCACACTACCAAGTTAAATAACTTCTTGGAAAACAGAAAAAGAAATATCACACAACATATATTTTCAGCAAAATATCTAACTATTTGCAATCTAGGGATTTTTTTGTTTAACTAACCTGCAGTTCCAACCTATGCAATAACAAATTTATCAAAATGAACAAATTTTATGTAAAAAAAAAGAAAGAAAAAAGAAGAATATAGAATTTTCTGTCTTCATAAATTATCCATGCTTCAAGATGGCGCCACTGAGGTACAAAATATTAATAATTAAATACCCATTATTCTAGGAAAACAATTAAACGATATAAATAATATATCTCAAGAACAAGGAATTTGAAAATATATTTTTGGAAGAAAATTTGTCTTCCTTTCTCTACGAACCTAAATTTAAATTTCAAAGATGGCTACTTAACCCTAGTGCATTCTGTATAATAACCATTGTAGGTTACTTTTTTATTCAACTAACCTACAATTCCAACCTATGCAATAACAAATTTATCAAAATTAACAAATTTTATCTAAAAAAGAAAGAAAAAGGAAGAATATAGAATATCTTCCTCACTTTTCTATTTTCACAAATTATCCATGCTTCAAGATGGCGTCACTGAGGTACAAAATATTAATAATTAAATACCCATTCTAGAATAACAATTAAACAATATAAATAATATAATATCTAAGGAAGAAGGAATTTAAAAATATATTTCTGGAAGAAAATTTGTCTTCCTTTCTCTACGAACCTAAATTCAAATTTCAAACATGGCTACTTAGCACTAGTGCACTCTATATAATAACCGTTATAAGTTACTCCGATTGGACAAACGTTGCACCTATTAGAGCACACTACTGTTCAATAAACTGACGATTTCGATCTTTCAAAGAGGAGACACAGTGCAAGGTTGGAGGGCTCGAAATTCGTCGAATTGGAAAGGCCATAGAGGCGAAATCTTTGATTAGACGGCATCCCTACGCGTGGCTTTTGATTTACATAACCACCGAGGCTGCTACTCCTCCATTCCACCCCTCTTTCGACAGCCACACCCATGTGCATCCCCTATGCCCGTTGAATTTGACCGTCAGACACCGAAATACAATTTTCTCGACCCCGAAGCGCCATCTCCCGTGGAATTTTGCAATTGAGATGAACGCGTGGAAACAAACGATCCTTCACGGATCAGGGATCTATTTCTCCAGGTGCGCTGCGAAGGATGGATTCGGTATCGAGTCGGGGCAGCAAACGGAATATTAACGCGTCCAGCGTCGTAGAAAATTGATGATTTCCGGTAGAATGCGAGATACAGGTCAACCGGCTGGTCTGGCAGCTCTAGCTGCACGACATCGTCGATCGCGATCCTACCAGATGCATCTCGCTTCCTTTTCCTCGTCCCGGCTAAATATAACAGGACGGGATCGTTTAAAATAGAGAAAGTCGTCTTTTTCATGTATATACGTAGGATGTTAGGGTTTGAGAGCGAGTGCAAGGGAACACTTGGGCCTACCTGGCTGATGATGGATAATAAACAGCAGTCTCGGATTCAGATCGAATGTTCAGGGTGATATCTGGAGTGCATGTGGAAAAGCAAGTGACCGTGAGCAAGGATTGCATGGACGGGATGTTTATGAGTGATCGAGAAAGATAGCCTGCGCGTGAAACAAGAGAGACTGCTAGATTTAACTCGAGAGGCGTCTCTTAAAGATGGATGTTAATTAATATATCAAGTTTACAATTACCCAACGATGCGTGGAATATCGAAGTAAAATAATTCTATCTCTTAACCACTTGCGCTATAAAGACGTGCCATGCACGTCGAGATGCTTTTGTTCCAAAGCCGCCAGCGACGTGTATACCACGTCGACAGGCATTTGTCGCAGAAACAAAAACGACGTGTCCGCCACGTCGGCTAACAGTTAGCTCGCAGACGCGGTTCGGAGTCAATGTAACATCTTACGGCAACCGAAAGTTAAATCGTAGCGCAAATGGTTAATTTGCATACGATTTCTTATCTACCATTTTTTAAATATCGTCAACTTTATGGCAGAAAGTCTTCGATTTACTATTTTCCTATAACGAAAAAATCGCCAAATGCAAAGGGTTAACCCTTTCGCTACTACGGATGACTAGTCACTGGCCAAAGGAACTGAATAAAAAATTAACATATTGCGAGATATCTCGTTTTTAACAAGTCGAACCTTGTGTCCAGGTGAAGAGATATCTCGTTTTCAGGTTCCTTCGACTCAATTAATGATTTAAGCAATTAAATAATAGATTTTCTTGTTACGTTACCAGGATAATGAAGTCTCTACCTAATTCTAACACCTTATGTGAATATAATACCAAATGCGAATTAGAAAAGTGCATATTTGCATCGTATAAAGTGTTCCTGGATCGCCCAAAAGAGTGCGGGCTGTGAAATGCATTGCGTGAGCAGAGTGCTGTACGCAATGTGTGTTAAGACAAGTGTTACCGTTCCTTTTAGCTCTCTTCGCAAGGAATTCCAAGCTCTATTGCGATGGTCAGTTTTTCCTTTCCTTCTTTCTTCGAAAGATTTGCGTCAAAGGATCGAATGCTAAAGAGTGCACGATAGTAATGCTTCCATCTTTGACACGTCGTTTCGTTCTACGGGAAAGGAGTTAAATAAGGGTGCAAGGGCTATCTTGAGACAGTTCTCTACGGAGTTTTAACCCCTTGGCTACTGTGGGCGCATATACGCGCTCAGAAATTTTGCTTTTCTGACACGGAGGGTGCATCTCTACCCAAAATTTTGCCTTGTAAATGAATTCTTACCCTTGTGGTACGACCGGTGCGTTTCAAAGTCTGCCGTAGTCAAAGGGTTAATGAGAGTTGACGCGAGAGTGTCGATTGGTTGCCTAATCATGGATCAGTTATCAAACTAGTCTTATGTCAGTCTAGTCTAGTCTATACTTTAGTCCTATTCTCATTTAGTTCGTAATAAGTCTCTTATTCTTTATATGTGCCAATCAAACAGTGCCCCTACACATATATATAATCGAAGATCAGAGAAGATCGAAGTGCACAGGAGTTACGGAAGGTTGGAGCGTGCTTGTGAAATTTAGAATCTGGCATGGATCGGCGCTGGGCCGATATCTATCCAATATCCTGTCCACGACATAAATCGACTGCCTTCCTGCACGTTGTCAATGGCGCCTAGCTCTTCCTACTTTCACCTCTTTCTCTCGTTTCGGCGACAAACGGAGCATCCGATTCCGAAAAAATGCTTCAATTAATTAGGTCTCCGTCATAAACGCTTATCTGGTAGCTTCGGGAGAGATCTCTACCCCGCTCTCTAACTCACAGTGATTATAATATTCTCTGCTTACGGGAGCAAAGATATAAACGGTTAAGGCTTTTTGCGTTCAGTAGAAATCTAAACGCTTGACACGACCGGGATAATACTTTGGTGTAGCGTAGTGGTATGCTAACGAAGCACGAACGCGGATGTAATTTATTTGTACTACTATCAAAATAGGCGACGCGAAATGAAAATCTGACAATATAGATTTAGGTGTAAATACTGAGATCAGAAATTTGTATTCAGGATAGCACGGATGGAGAAGATCTTGTTGCTTCTTAAATCTATATTTTCGATATAATTGCAAGCGAACACGAGCAGTCAAGTAGTTAAATAGTGGAGCAATCAAATAGCC